AACAACAAGCGTCTGCGAAGGTGAACAAGCAGCATAACATGGACTCACCATAGCAATTTGAATAAGCTCCCAACGAGCGAGAGACTATGGCAGACATTATTCTAGCTTTAAGTCAAAGACTGGGCGGCATTTTATAAAGTGCTGCTTCTAGTCTTATTATTTCAAGCTGCTGTTTTGCTGGAAAACAGATTCAAAAACTTTAGGCTAGGCATGGCCATAATATTTAATATCAATGCTTGTTATTGGTCATATATAGTTGTATTTGGATCATGTGATTTTGTTGGTGACTGGAGAAGTTCGTTTGTAAACCATTATAAACTTTTAGTATGTTCTGAAATGGTTTTATCTTTCATGTGATTTCGATGTTTTAGGCCACCAGCCATAACGTTATTTTCTCATGCCATAATGCATCAATAATCGACAACTCTAAATTTTTTCCCGTTACATCGATCTACCTTCGTTTTTATGTGTAATGAATAAAAGAAACCTCCACAAAAGCGAGATTCGTTATAAACCTCAATAGAGGCCCGTCTTAGAGAGGTTTTCCTTGGTTGGGGATACTTTCTACAAGGCTGTGACTGCAGAAGAAAGATTTTGAGACAAAATTATTTATTAGTTTTAAGAGGTGTCCATTTTTCTGAATTGTCCAGCAGTGGAGGTTAAACTGAAAAGTATGTTGATATATATATCCTTCGTTCTATTAGTTGAGGCCCTGGGTACTAGCGTCTCGAAAAGGGGTCCAGTGCAACAATCGAAGAGAGGAGTCGAACAAAGAAAGGCCTCCCACTCTTCGACCCCACTCTTTCACAGAGGCTCTTGTAGCCTGGATAAAGTTCTCCTTTCTTTTTTATTTTAACTTCTTTGGCCTGTTTCTTTCACATTATGAATTTTCGGTTTTAAAATTCACTCTTCATTTTCCCTAACCCCTTATTTCACCCCTACCCCAATTGACTGTTTTATCTGACGCTATCTAATGCTGGAAATTATACCCTTAATTCAATATGCTTCTTCGCTCTGACTTTTGTCAATAAAATCAGTTATATTCATTTTGGGATTAATTCAGTTCATGTTTCTAGCCAAAGGAAATTGTTCCAAAACAAAATTATTGTGCTCCTTCAAAATCAGAGGACAGCCGTGAGGCACCTTTCCAACAATTTAAAAGAGAATTTGTACGTTGACACAAGTGGCTTAGCATATTTCAAATCCTTGATAGTACAAGGCAACCAATAGCACTTGAGATAATTCTGTAATTCACGGACAGGGATTAAGAAAATAGAAGCGTTGTCCCCACCATAGTGCAACAGGAATGAACTTTTTCTATACCAAAATTAATGAAACAATTTTTCTTGCTTTGTTGGTTTCACGTTTAACTGGATGCGTTTCTCGTCATAGAAATACTTGTATGCATCTTCTGAAACTTCCTTCTTCCCACGTTTAGACTTACTGTTCTTTCTTTCTTTATTTCTTTTTTTCTTTCTTTATTTCTTTCTATCTTTCTTTCTTTCTTTCTTTCTTTATTTTATTCTTTATTTCTTTCTTTCTTTCATCTCAGTCTTTCTTTCATGTTAGTGCATCTTTTGTTATCTTACTCCCTTTAGTTTAACAGCAAGCAGTGCCAAAATTGATCGAAGAATTGATCGAAGCTTTCTTTTTTGCGTTTTTACTTTCCTATTTTAGTTGATTCTCTTTCTTTCGCTATCCTTCCCTTTCTTCTTCTTTTTTTCTGGGCCCTTGCCTACTTTTAACTGTCTCTTGTTCTGCAAACTCCACTTTCAATTCTTCCTTTTCTTTTTAGTATGTTTTATTTTTGCTTCCTCATTGGCTTCTGATTATTTTCTACTTTCCATAGTTCGTCCTTGCCTGTCCTTTTTGCACTTACCATCCCTTCGCCCGCCTTCGCTTCCTTGTGCCTCCTTTGCTCTCCAGTGGCTCTGATTGTTTTTTCTTTCTCAAGCCGCAATCGTACTCCTGATAGTTTCCGCAAAGTTCAAATCCGCAAAGTTAATATTTTTTATAATTTATGTCGCCACATACTTAATTTGATCTTTGTTTGATTTTGCTTGATTTTGCTCTGTGAGTTCACAGAAGATGCTAAACTCGACACCTCATCATTCTTTGCCAAGCCAAACATATGATAAAGTTTTTTACAAAGTTTAGATATATTGAGACCTATTTTAGTTACAGATTAGTTTTTTTGATCGACTATCCCCTGTCACCATTCTATTTCTGATCTTTCTCACAAAGTTATAATCAAATTCGCGGGATTTTGCCCTGAAGGTGATGTTGATGAGTCCGCTATGTTGGTTTGCCGCAACTTTAATCTCACTAAGTCGGATTCTAATTAAAGGAAATATAAGGTCCACCAAAAGGTTTTTCGGCCTTTGCCAAGCTCATTTGCATAATACATGTTACCTGGATATCTCATTCTTTACATTCATTATTAAAAAGGAAAAATCTGCCGCAATTTTGTGCCAATTTCTGATAAAGAGATCTCTTCCAGGTTCTTTTCTTTTACTCCAAACTTCATATTTCTAACAAAAGGGCGATATTTCCATCTAATTTTCCCTGAGCCCTTGGACTTCGGACGCTCATTCTGTCGAATTTCGCGTTAGCTTGGACATTTTGTATTGCTGTAGAAAAGAAATGCTCCCCGCGCTTGTGCTTACGCCAGTCACCCCTCTCCAATCCCGTAAAGTAAAGTTGTACTCGTGGTTAACTTGAGACGAATTGGATTCAACCATTTAGTGTCATTTTTTCGAAGGGGTTTGAAAATGAATGGGGGGTCTCCTGGTCAAGACCATATAAACAGGTGGGTTTTAATAAACGGGGGGAGGGCAGATATATTGTTCAAAGTCATTGCAGCAGCATATCGAATTTTTAGAGTAACGTTTTTGTCGATAAAACATTAAAAGAAATGGAGTATCTCAAAGATGTTCTCGCATTTAATTTATTTGCAAATTTCATTATTCAGTAATTTTCCTTTTCAATGCAGATGCTTCAAAATACTTTTTTGTCAGAATCGTGATCAGGAATATTGCCCCGATTCCTCATGTTTATCTCACGAATTTGTCCTGACAGAGGATGCCCATTAAACAAATTGAGATCCGACCAATTGTAGAAGCCTAACACACTCTAAGCAAAGGCCAATGGAATGGAGGTCATGAAACCACCAGCTTTACCCTGTAGTTGAAAACCCGTCCCAGCATCACAAGTAAACTAAAAAAGCGGGGCCAGAATCGATAACAGACTTGCATCATTATTATTTGAATCTACGTCATAATGCTATCAACCCAAGTCAAACGCTCTTTCTGTTATTGGCTACCAAAATATCATATCTGGTTTTTTACTTATACTGCATTTCCTCTGAAAAGCGCCCTACCCTCTTGATGGAAAAAATGCGCGTGAAAAGAGACTAAGTCATTGGGAATGGCTCATTCGATTGGTTTTGTGATGACCACTGCCCCTTTACTCCTATCATGTTGGAGCACTCTTGACAAATGACAAAAGATAACGATGTTAAGTTACGTAGAAGAGTTTTGTAAAAGGCCACTTTTGTGGACGAACAATATCTACAATTTGACTTCACTCAACTTAATTATGAAGAAATGTTGTTTTCACTAATAAGGAAGAAACTACTCTTTTTGTTGGGTATTGGTTGTGTTGCAAGTCATTAAAACGATTGCGAAGAGAGACAGGATCAAGTTGGTATTTTAAAATTTGATGTATAAAAGTAATTTATAAAAGATGATTTCTTAGCGTTAGTTATATCGAAATTCGCCGACAGCACAGTTGCCATAGTTGGAGTTGCCCTGAAGGGACAAACTTGATAGACTGTGTGGGTGGACTGAATTTGATATCAGAATGTGAAGCCTTTAGGCCTCTAAATGGACGCCAGTTTTCACAAATTGATAGAAAAAATGTTTAATAGAGCCACTTATCAGATTTAATGAAAAAATACTTCCAGGAATCAATGACCAAATAACGTTTATTCAAATAGGCTTTTTTCAAATTGATGACGTCATGAAATATATCAGTGCTACATGGCAGATCTTAAGTTCATAATAAATGATCTGTAAAAAGCATACGTAATAAATGTTATCGAAGAAATCTTCACAGCTAATTCAGTACATAAATAGTAGATAAGCTGAAAGATATGCTTCTCTTGTTTTCGCTTCAATATGTATGCCCAGTGCCTATGTATGTCTTTTATCATCTAAAGGAAGAAACAAAGCATTCTCTTTGACAGGGAATCTGAAGGCGAGTATTCAAAATATAACGATGAATGTTCAATTGGGTAGCGAGGTTATTGTCGTGTACTTGAACTTTCCTCATTATAGGCAGGTTTATGACTATCCGTAATTCTTGTCGGCCATCCTGCTTTTACCCACCTTTCACCAATTTATTGCTGCCCATAGCCAAAACGCCATTTTTGTAGGTCCTTCAATTGCAAGACAATTCGTCGACTATTCGTCGATGCAACTTCTATCGCAAATCACAACACACTGATCATTTGGGAAGTGTATTTATCTGCTGACGTGGAGCAATATTACATTTGAAAGTAGCAGTGTAATTGCCTTTGTTGATAAACGAAGCGCTAGTAATACAGTACTCTTCTTTGATTAAAGGAATGTTTTTGTAACCCACATGTATGGTTGCAATTGCTCATCTCATTTGACTTGATACATTTAGGCAAATTGGCTCGGAACATTTAGCTCGGAAAAAAATAGAAAAAATGTATTTTAATCATTCAGTGTCAAAGTTCAGTCTTTTAGAGTTATATTCTTATATTCAAAATTTTCAGCATTAGTTCTGTTGGAGGGGTACAGTTCTGTGACTAAGAAATGTTAAAATTAGAAATGTTAAAATTATGTCGTCATGATTTATAGTTTCTCAACTAAATTTGATACTTCTACGAAATTGCATAATTTTGGTCGAGGATGATGATCATGAAGAATCCATACTTTTGATGTGACAGTGGTGAATAATTATAACATATTCAGTAAATGAATCTGATTTGCATGCATAATCAAGGAATTTAGATGACATAGACATAACTACTTAATGAACGTTTTGTTAATAATGTTATAATGGAAGATTATGTAGTAATGTGCAATGTACTATTTATATGAAAATATCTTGCAGACAGTCGTCATATGCAAAGCAAAGTTATATTAGTTACATAAGCATGGTGTATCGCCAGGAAATAATTATGTCAATGTATTTTGACGCCTTCATTTTTATGACAAACTATTCTGTCAGTTGCATAATTAGGGCAACAGATAATTGGAAAATGTCTGCCCTTTTTTATCCATTGTGAAGACAGCTGCGTAACAGATGTAACTCTGACTGGCGGTTGTGATGCCAGTTCGAATATTTGAAATTGCTTGGTGAGATGCTATGATGTATCAATTACATATTTTTGCACAATTTTGATTTTTCGACTGATATTTATGCGTAATTGCAAATCTCCGTAATTGTGATCTGTTTTGAAATACCTCCAGTGCACAATTGAAACATTCGAACATGTCGACATTTTTTCGCGCCAAGATGCGTTTTTATGAAGTTTCAACAAATCTCTTCGATTCAGGTATGCATTTTTTATGTATTGCAAATAATGTCAAGAGCAGATGCATAATTATTGACACTAAGATTTACCTGATAGCCTCTTATAACAGGTAATTATAACACACAGCTGATGGGTGATGTTGATACCAAAATTCATAATTGTAAATACCCGGTGAATCTTTACTTAAAAAGTGTTATGTTAGCTAATAAATTATGCATAATCGAGTAATTAAAATAATTAGTACGCAAATGCTTAAATACAGCCTGGCTGCATAAGAGAGGCATCTCATCTGATTACAGTGTATCAACAGATGCATAAACGCCCGGTTTTTGTGAATAATTATTCACTATGAATTAAGCAGGTACATAATTATCATGCTATAATGAGTTTCAGTAAGCAATATCCTTAATTTAATTGTAAGGAATTAGTTTCTAGTTCCTGAAATCTTCAAATTGTATTGTCTCATGAACAATTAAGCATTGCACGGTTTTATTTTCACTAGGTTTCAACCACCTCAGTGCAGTCTTTTCACATTTTTTAGTCGTATTTCAATTCTTGATACTTCATAACGAGCGTTTTCCAACACATTAGAGCCCCCCTTGACTACCCTGCGGGTGCCTGCGGGTGCTTGTGGCAATAGATACCCATAATGCACAGGTGCACAATAAGGTGCATTGTTGTGCATTAGTAAGGAGTACCACGATGCCGATTAATGTGATTTGACATATGCAACACATTTATTTGGGTATATGTGGGTCAAATCAGACGTGGAAGAAATCCAACATTAAGAATCATAGACTGGATAGACTTTGTGTTTACAATATCTCCAGTTTAAGATTATTCCATATAGATATTGATTAATACACTAAAGCAATTTTGTAATATAACCATCCTTTATGGTTCAGAAGTGTACTGTGCGTATGTTGTTGGTACCTTATTTCTTTGTTGTCTACAGTAAATAAACCTATCGAATAAAGAAGCAAGAAATATCTGTGTTATTGAGACATGATTCAATGCTTCATATTCCCTGAACACAAATACTTTGTAATCCTCTTTGCAAAGACTGTTTTATTCATTTTTTGATATTTGAAACACACATCAAGTTTTGCGAGGATTCATTTTCTAAGGAAAGTAAACGAATACCGAAGACCCGAAGACTTCCTACAAAGGGACTGATCTTTGAGCTACTTGCAGTTATTCCCCTGCTCTCTGTACGTTATAAAGTTTGGTGGCAGCATTTATTTTTGTTAAAGCTTTTTAGAAGACAGTCTCTATATTTTTGCATACGATTTGGTATGTACGAAAGCTGCTGGATATAAAGTTTCTCACTCTCTGCAATAGACAGATCTCTTCAATGTATCACTGCAGATGTTATGGTTCCAGTAAACCTTTCATCTGGCACAGATTTTGGAGAAGTATGGGATGTTATTATCAAACATTCTTGCATTTTTCAAGCAAAAGCTTGTATTGACATCATTGCATAAGTGTATCAACGTTGTATATGTAGTATACTATCAATTGTGATGCGAGTTCTACATTTTTTGTCAAATTAAGCTAATCAGTTAGAAGTTGGCTGTGTTATGGCACAGACGTTACCCTATTAGATACAATGTCCAAATTTAGATTGGAGTTGAAGACACGGTCGTTAAAGCTGTTTAGACCCGGCTACATCTAACTACTTGTACTGATCCAGTTTAAACCATTGTAACTCAAGCTAAGGCAAAGACATAAGTAGCCAGTTCGTAACTTAACGCAAATTTAACTGATATGCTTGCATAGTGATATTTCATAATATTTTTTCAGATTATTGGGTCCATACTCTACAATTTT